GTGGAGTATCTTAGATGGCTGCTGACAGGCTTTTAAGACCCCAGACACTACTCACCAAGGTAGAATGTAGAACATTGTCTTTATAAACTGTGTTATGCCAGTTGAGCTAGATGTTCCCCGAGACCATGATAGACCGTATTTGTATGTAAATAATGCACACCTTCTGCGTTTGTTTGCCAACCGTGCCCTTCCCTGCAAAGTATTTTCGTAAGGATGCTATGATAATTTTTTTTACAGCAACATATTAAAAAAAAAACTGGCATAGCGGCGCGTATGAAAACACCTCACGGGAGAGGGTGCAGTTGGCAAACAAACGTAGAAGGCATGCGTTATTTGCGTAAAAATACGATAGAGCACCTCTGGCTGCAGTGTTAAGTGCTGGGCATGAGTTGTCTCATTTAATTGTGCCAACATCCTAATGAAGCACGTAGTGTTTCCTCCATTTCACAGTTGAGGATTGTGGGCTTGGTGAGGGCCAGGAACCCAACCAGGGTCCCTGAGCCAGTGAGGTGCACAGCTGGGCGCCCTGCAGGCCTGACTCTCCGAGTCCTCATTCTCAGCCTCTTCTCTGTCCTGTCTCTTGGGGATGCCCAGGTTCTTGGCCTATGAACATGGGCAAACACTTTAACTTCCCTAAGCCTCAGTTTCCCTCCCTATTAAAGGGAAGAATAACCCATGCACCCCTTGCTTGCCGAGGCAGGAAGTGGTGAGGATCAAGGACTAAAGGCGCAGTGGTGCTCACTGGAGTGGAAGAGGGAAAATTAAGGCAATTTCCCCACTCATCCTCAGCTGCTCTGATTCCTTGGGGAGAGCCAGACTCAGCAGTGACTGCTGGAGGCTTGCACGTGGGGCTGCTCTAAAAAGCCATCTTAGGAGTGAAAGGAAGGCCAGGAACAGGCGATGGGCAGAGGCAGTTTTCTGAATCAAGAGAGGCAGCGGGAGTCAGCCCAGGGCTTGAGAGAGAGAGCGAGTGTCCACCTCCCACCCCCATGCTGGTACCAAGGGTGCACCTGGCATTCTTCACCTGGAGGGTGAGGAGGAAATGAAGCTGGAGGGGCGGAGGGCAGGAGCAGGGGTGGGCCAGGCTGCCTGAGCCTGCCTGAGGGTATCTGGGGAGTGGGCCAGGCAGCTTTCTGGGTGGGTTTTAAGAAACACGAGGAACTGTTGACTGGGACTTGAGCTTCCTCAAGCAAACCCTTCAGACCTTCTTTCTCAAGATTTCTCTTTTTCTTCCCTCAAACCTCATGTTGGTTCTCAAGTCAGGACTAGAGTAATCTGAAGGTAGGGAAGAAAAGGCTGTTTCCTTTAGTAAACCCAGCTCCAACCTCTTCTGACTGGGGAGGGAAGGTGAGGAGGTGGCTGCCTTCATTCTGCTCTGATCCTTGGAGTTTCTCCTTATACGGATGTTGGAGCACAGCAGTGGGCAATAGGAGTTAGGGAGGCTCCCTGGAGCATCGTTCTCCAAGTGCTGGCCCCTGCGGGGGAGGGTGTGGGTCTGTTTTATTCTGTTTCTTAACTCAGACAGTTGTTGGACACTGACCTGACACCCCCTCCTCCACCCTCCTTACCCTAGGCCCTGATGGATCCTTGGTGGTTTCAGTTGGAATTGGTTCTAGAAGGTTCTGTCCATCAAAGATACATGCAAATTTCAGAAGAGTCTAAAATTCCAAACAGCATAAAAACACATGCCTTTCCAAAGATGATCTCAGAGATAGAATCCTTTGACTTCCTAATGTCATCTAAACCATTTCCTCCCTTAAATAAACTTTTTATTTTGGAATAATTTTAGATTTATAGAAAAGTTGCAGAACTAGCGCAGAGTTCCCACGTACACTTTTCACCCAGTTTCCTCCACTGTCAACATCTTATGTTAAGATGGGACATTTGTCAAAACTAAGAAATCAACACTGGTACCTTACTTTTAACTAAACTCCAGACTTTATTTGTATTCCATCCGGTTTTTTTTATTAATGTCCTCCTTCCGTTCCAGGATCCCACCCAGGGTACCCAATGCGTTTAGTTGTCACGTTTCCCCGGTCTCCTCTGGTCTGTGACAGTTTCTCAGTCTTTCCTTGTTTTTCATGACCCGGACAGTCTTGAGGCTGGGTATCTTGTAGAATGACTCCTCATCTGGGTTTGTCTGTTTTGTCTGCGTCACTTGGTTAATGTAGCCTTTGCTAGATTTCTCCACTGTAAAGTTACTATTGTTCTCTTTCCCTGCTTTATTCTTTGGAAGCCAGTCACTAAATCTAGTCCCCGCTTAGGACTGAGGTAGATGGGATTAAGCTCCACTCCTGTAAGGGGAGTGTTTACTCATATTAATTGGAGTTCTTTTGTAAGAAAGGAGCCCTGGAGCTCAGGCTGCTAACCAGAAGGTCCGCAGTTCGAATCCACCAGCCACTCCTTGGAAACTCTATGGGGCAGTTCTAGTCTGTCCTACAGGGCGACTTTGGGTCAGAATTGACTCGACGGCAACCAGTACTTGGATTTCTAAGGAAGAGTCGTCTCTTCTCCCCTATTTATTTATATCAGAAAGGACTCAATGGCTATTTATTTTATACTTTGGGTTATAATCCAATATTACATTTTTTACTTTGTTGGTCAAATTGTTCTAGCTTTGGATATTGTAGGTTCTTTCAGGTTGATTCTTATATTCCT